TCTGTTGCTGCTGCTGCTGCTGGTAATAGGACGATGCAGCTGAATACACTGCGGCTTCATAGCCGGAATAAGAGGTACCTCAAAGACCAAAATAAAATAAATGTTACATCACTGTACATAATGCATCAATTACATAATATACTAATTCAAAACATGCTGCATAATAGAGTCAGGAGGGGCAGGGCAGGATAAAAATGATTTATTGAGAACTTGTTAGGCAGTTTGAATCTTCCTTTATGTTTGACAGTACACAAATACATAGATAACAATTGTATCAGGAATATATTTGATTTTAGATGTATCTTTGCAGACATATAGTGATGTTAAGATACATCAAAACATCCCTAAAGAATATGTCAAACTTCCTGGTACATCTGGTAAGACCGACTACTATGTAACAAGAATTTTAATAAAAGATTTATCAAAGACCACTTGAAGTAAGCAGTCTTCCAGAACCAGATTTATTGTTCAAGTTTCAAAATGTCAAGCAGGACAGACATTATGTAGAACAAGTGGGAAAAAATGAAGCTAAAAGACAGAATGGCTAGTGCTACCTGATTCTACTTCACTGATTTAAGTTGGCTTAGTGCAGAGAAGCTGCTTGCTCATTAAAACCTGGCTATGCAGTCCTTGATTTCTAGTATGAAAGCTGAACAAATCAAGGAAGCTGGACTTTCACACCTTTGAGCCAGTCTTCCCATAAACTTTCTACATCTACTGGTTCAACTATTCTAATCCTCTGATCAGGCTCTCTCTCAAGGAAGTTTTAAAACCCCTTTTTAAACACAAAACAAAACAAAACAAAAAGTTCAAGATAGCCATAATGTGCCAGCTGAGTACCATCTGGCCATAAAGTTAATATCTTTTCATCTTTAACCACTCTTTGGATTTCTAATGTTTGAAGGAAATTCTATTTTTCAGCACCCATTCTCCTCTCACTTTGGGTCAAGACAACCCAAACTTACAAGATTTTTATTGGACTGCTACTCCCTGTCTCCATAACTGCTGTCTGATGGCAGCATGCTCTCTTCCAATTTCCCTGTGTTATATTTGTGTGGATGTGTTTCCTTATTTTTTCTATCCCTCATCTTTTCTCTCCAAACCTTACAGTAAGACAACAAAACACTATGCATGTAGCAATGCCAACACTTTGTATATTCTCACATATAACAAAAAAAGGCACATACAATCATCAAACCTCTTTTAAAGACAAAGCAAAATATTTTTCCATTATAATGATTCAACTGGTTGATACTTCTCAGTAGACTATGATGTAACAAAACACGAACTGCTAAAATTCTGAGTATTTAAAACCTCTCCTGTAAATAACTGCAAAGATCCCAGCAACATAATATGCAAAATTCTTACCAGAGTAAGTAACCGCTGTCGTACTGTACGTTGCACTTTGGGTATAGGATGGGACAACAGTAGCTGCAGGTGGCACTGGCTGGCCCCCTGCCACTGGCTGCACAGTAGAGGATACTGGATATATAGAAAATGTAGTTGTTGCTGGACTTGGGGTTGCAGGTTTTATAGCTGTCACTTGTCGTGTTTGCTGGGCTTGGGTATACTGAGTTGCGCCTTGGCTATATCCTGCTTTTGGAGCTAATTAGGACAGAAAATAAAAATGCACAAACATTGACATGTTTTAATTGAATGAAATGTAAACCACATTAAGTGATACTTAACAATATGCTGGGGAATAAACACATAACAAGTAGGGGTTTTTTTTGTTTCTTGTTGGTTTTGCATGTTGTGGGGTTTTTTTGTTGACAGTCACAGTTATGCATTGTGTACCATGTGTCACACAACTGTTTGCTCATGTCACAGCTTACACTAGTAAGCATCAGATTTACTTATTTATTTTTAAATGTGCTGCATTGTTTTAAAACAACCTTCTTGTTAAATGGTTTTACTAGAGTACACTAAACCAAAGCACACCTAAACTTTCCTATCATTTCTAATTAAAGAAAAAAAGTAAACAGGATTTATGCTTTGCAGCAATCGTGACACCAATAATTAACTAACTACATGCACTGAAATTGAAAGAGTCTTTCCAACCAAGGTATCCTCTGAACCCACCATTGACTATTGGAACCTACTTCAGCAAGTTTTCCAGACAAATCAAAAAGAAGTTTGCCTAGAAGTATGTTTTGAGTGTATTTAATAAAAATCCAAATCTCAGAGATAGCTACTTACAACAATGTTGCAATTATTTTCAAGTTCTAGGTGCACCAATTTTTTCAATACTTTGACAGAAATTACATGACAAAACAAAACAAAAAAAAAATCTGGATAATGTGAAATATTCCAAAAACTATTTTTAAGGTACTAAAGTAGTACACAGACTGCGTATAATAACAGCAATTTGAATGACGCCACCCACCTGTCTGGTAGTATGATTCAGCTACTGAAGGTTGAGGCTGGGCAGCAGCAGCCACAGCTGCCGCAGTCGCTGTTGGCTGTTGATAGTATTGTTTGCTGTCATAAGCTACAGCTGGGGCAGTAGATCGAACATAAGAATAGGAATCCTAAAAATTCAAAGAAGAAAAACCAGCAAATTTATCCTTTAAGTATATATCTGGAGTAATAAAAGTCATTAGTAGAGTCAAAGAAACAATGTATTTCCTTCTGGTCTACTAAAGTAGATTTTAAAAAGCATTTACAGACACAGTATATAAAAAAATGCATTAAAGAAATTAAATTTATGTTTACATATACTTCAGGCCTGAAAACAACCCTGATGGTCTTTTTCAGACTTAATACAGGAATTAACCTCATGCTATTAAACCAGTTTCCCTAACAAATTCTTTTTGTTACTGAAAAGCAACTACTCCCAGTAGTTTTTCATAATGACTGTATCAGACTACATTTCTGTAAAACATGAAGCAAAAAACCACCATAGATCTGCATAAAATGTGAATTTCTACACACCGCAATAAATTCACAGGTTTTACAAACTTGACCCTATATTGGCTTTAAAAATTCCATAATTAACAATACGTTTCTTGGTTATATTTTTTAGAGTATGAAAGTGATATTTTTAAAGACTCCTTTACTTTTTGGTGTATCAACTAGACTATTAGGGAAACAGATTTAGTCTATAAAGGCAAGGCAAGTAGCCTGTTGCACACCTCTAGAACTCTGGAGATGGCTAGTAAGCTTAGAAGCAGAGGGCCTGGAAGCCACTATAGGTATGTAGATATATTCTCTCATCCTCACATATTTATTGTAAAGCTTAAAGAGCTGATCAACTGAGGGTAGCAAGGTGTGAACTACTATAGCTGAAATGTACTAATGTATAAAAATTCTTTTTATTTAAAAAAGAACCCAGTGAAATATCTTTTCCATCCAACCTGTGTAAACTGCTTGTACGTTATTTTTTTTTAGTTAGGGGACTCTCTTTTCTGCCCGAATGCATTTAATAACTGACCTCATAATTATGACCACACCTACTACTGGAAAGCCTCCTCTGTTACGATTCATTACCATATGTAACAAATCATAGAAGCTGTATAAAAGAGTTGAGAACATGCAGCAATAGTATAGTCCTTTTAAACAAACCAAAATACTAATTAGAATCTAGATAATGCCTTGATAAGTTTAGAACTAAAAAGCTAAAAAATTATTACAAGAAACAAACTATTTCAACATCCAAGATGAAAACAGACAAACAGTACCCTTGTATAGAAGCCAGTAGCCTCACAATGTTAAGCAGTAATCTCACACAGCGTACCCAAAAACTATCCAAAGGGTAGTTCCTCTCCTAGGGCAATCTTCTATCCTCATATGTTTGGCACTAGAATTCTTGTGGCACCCAGGAATCTGACAAGGGAACTATTTCTACCTCCACTGAAAATTTTTTTGTAACAGTTTTTTAAGCTACATGAGTTTCATGACCCAGTTACTGCATGCTACTCGAACACTTAAGCTAGCTGAGACAAGACAGTACTATTCTTCTCAGCAGTAGTTTCACAAAATCACTTGGAGGTAAATATCAGTTCATTACTTACTTTTTGAGTGTCTAAACCTTAGCTCCTGCAGTACTAGAGGTGATAATATTCTACATACAAGACTGCAGTCACTTCACATTCTATCAGTTTTTGCTACTAAGTAATTTGAATGGTACTCAAACTGTGACTCACAACAGAAAAAAATTATAAATATCATCACATTCTCTTATCTAAACAAGCCTCCTCCTTTTAATGTATCATTCAAAATCCATACAGCATAAGTAATTTTTTTTTGAACCCACCTGGTAATTTTGCGTAGTGACAGGAGGCGGTGGTGGTGGAGCTTCTTGTTGCCTCTGTGTATAACCATAATCTGTAGCTGTGTGTGCTGTAGGATAGCCTCCATACGCAGCAGCTGTTGCAGCAGCTGCAACAGCTACCGGAGCAGGCCTAGCTACTGCAACCGTAGCTGCTGCTGGAGCATAGGCTGCAGTAACTGTGTGAGCAGCAACTGGTGCCTGGTGGACAGTGTAGCTAGCAACTGTAGTTGGATGGGAATAGGCTACACCCGAAGCTGGCTGCTGACTGTATTGGAAAAAGACAGTAAGCAAATAATTAGATTAATCCCACATACTAAGCTAATGCCTACATATTTCAAAATCACAGATTTTATTAATAACTTTCCTGTTCTACAAACAGACCTGGAACAGCTATCTATCTGTCTATGTGTACACTTCAATGACTTTTGTTACCTCTCTTCCACCCCCATTAAAAAGGCTGTATCATTCTGAAGCTTCTGCAGATGCACACATATCATGCAGGTGATGACTCTTAGCAAGGGGGGAAAGAGGGGTTGTGTTGGGTTCTTTTCAAGCAGTGGAACAGAAGTCTTTCATTCAAAATAATAGAGAAGTCTTAAATTTTTAAATGCTTTGGTAGTTTTTCAACAAAACTGACATACCTGTCAAATTAAGAAAAATACTGCTTTTCAGTGAGAACTCACTACTGACCTGCATTTGCAGGAAGTTTTTCAATAAACCATATTAAAGTAATGAGATTTTAAAAACTTCAGTGATAAAGGAGAATGGCTTGAGAGCAGCCCTGAGGAGAAGGACTTGGGGGTATCGGTAGATGAAAAACTGAACATGAGCCGGCAATGTGCGATCATGGCCCAGAAGGCGAACCATGTCCTGGGCTGCATCAGCAGAAGCGTGACCAGAAAGTCGATGGAGGTGATTCTCCCCCTCTGCTGATCATGGCCCAGAAGGCGAACCATGTCCTGGGCTGCATCAGCAGAAGCGTGACCAGAAAGTCGATGGAGGTGATTCTCCCCCTCTGCTCTCGTAAGGCCCCACCCGGAGTATTGCGTCCAGATCTGGGGGGCCCCAACGCAAAAAGGATGTCGAGCTGTTGGAGAGGGTCAAAGGAGGGCCACGAAGATGATCAGAGGGCTGGAGCACCTCCCGTACAAGGACAGGCTGAGAGAGTTGGGGTTGTTCAGCCTGGAGAAGAGAAGGCTCCAGGCAGACCTTATAGTGGCCTTCCCGTACCTGAAGGGGTCTACAGGAGAGATGGGGAGGGACATTTTAAAAGGTCATGTAGTGACAGGATGAGAGGTAATGGATTTAAATTGGAAGAGGACAGATTTAGATTACATGTTAGAAATAAATTCCTTAATGTGAGGGTTGTGAGGCACTGGAACAGGTTGATCAGAGAATTTGTGGATGCCCCATCCCTGGAGGTGTTCAAGGCCAGGCTGGATGAGGCTTTGAGCAACCTGGTCTAGTGGGAGGTGTCCCTGCCCATGGCAGGGGGGGGTGGAACTCAATCTTTAAGCTCCTTTCCAACCCAAACCATTCTATGATTCTAAAAAATTAGCTCAGAACTCTTACATTTAAGGCAAACTTTACTTTAAATACACACCTCTGATAGGGGATTTATCCCACAAAAGTTTAGAATTATTAAAGCTGGCCCCATTCACTTGTGCAGAAGTCCACTGCCTCATAATATGAAGTATCAAAAGAACTGACAGTCAAATCGAGCAAGAAGACTGCTACTAGAGCTCTGTCAATCTTCCAGGCACATGCTGAGACTAATCTGCCTCTCTAAAACTTGCACATAGGACATTAATATGTATCTGTTTACTCAGAATGAGTAAATATTAACAGCAGAAATAAAAATGAAGGCTTCAAAAGTTTAATTATTTGAACAGAAACTAATATTATTGTCCTATATTGATGTGTAACTGTGCATTATAATTAGAAGCTTAGACTAGTTATTTAAATTTCTAAACAAATAAAGTGAACTGGGCAAAATATCACTCTCTGGAACAATGATATGAAATGGGGAGGGACTGATTCTTCTGAATATTTTAGTACACTTCCTGCACTGTTGTTCAATAATCTTTAAGAATCCCTATAGGGTTTCACATCTCCATAGCACTACTAAAAGATAATTCAAAACCAATTCTATGCCTACCAAGGAGGCAGTATCCCCTATTTTTCAGAAGAAAAGAAAAAAAATGAAATTTAACTTGAAGCAGATATACTCAGTGGCACAATGGAATTGCAGTAGGGTTATGCTCAAAACCAAAAGGAACATGTTACGGTATTTTTTCCTAAAGACTGCAATATCCTCTCTGACATAGCTGTCAGAAACAAAGCACATTTAAACTACACTTACTATTATTTTTGCAAAAGACGTTTCCATAACTCCCTTGTGTTCAGTAAGTTTTATTTATTTTTAGAGAAACTGATTCTGTCATTTTGATTACTACAGAACCGACTAACTTCAATATACTAAAAAAAAACATTCTTACAGCAGAAAAAGAGACAATTTTATTACTATTGGCCTTCCATGCCTGGACTCCACCTTCTTCCTATCATAGGCCCCTGACTGCTTAAAAGATCACTTGCATCCAAATTTAATTCAGTTGTTGAGTTGTACTCACAATTATGTTCAATTTTATTTCCAACTTCTTAGTATAACAGTAGACGGAAAGGACCTAAACAACTTTGGTGTAGCTCCTACCTCTGCTTGAAACAATTCCTATTACTTGATGTACATAAGAAGATTCTCTGTTTTGTCAGTTTAAGGTAAGAAGTCGGACTCCCTCAGAAAAATTCAGGAAGACTACTTTATGATGATACAAGTAAATTACAGTCTATAAAATTAGGCTGCATTATCTACATATCTACATATCTACATAAATAACAGTACAGAAGTATAAAATGTTCACAAATCCTGAGATATCAGGTATCATATATATCTACTAAAACCAAATTAAACTGGGAAAAGAGACAGCAGACTGTTTAACTCAGACTGCAGTTGAACACATCAATAGTCCAACACTGCTAAAAAGGAAAGTCTTGCTCCTCACTATTCCCACTCTTACTCTTCTCTCTTCCCATATAGCAAACCTGGCTATGCCATTCTATTCCATCCCTGGTGCTAGTTCTGCTACTTGTCAAGCTATTCAGTGCACTGATTTAACTCATTAATCTATCAGAAAACAATGAGAATTTGTTTGGCTGGGCTCATTTTCTAACATGGTAGAAATGTCAGAAACATTGGAGCTTAAAAAACAAGTCTGCTGAGTGCCAAGATCCACTTAAGTTATAGGCAGGGAAACGGGAAAAAATGGGAGGAGGAGAAAGAACAGGGACCTGTCCAGGAAGCATTAACTTCACTCTTCCAAGTTTTATGAAAATGTGCTTAAGTTACTATTACCAAATACTATACAGTGCTCACAACATAGTGTAAAGTAACAGTACCAGTCAGTTTATCAAAGAAATTACTTTCATTCTCAGAATACATATGATTAAAGCTACCTGACAGTTTTCAGTATTTAATATTGTGAAGAGAATATGATCATTACCAGCAGGTTCTGGTACAGACAGTTTCATTTCTTCTGTGCTATTTTTGTACTGAAATTCCTTATCATGGTATAGAATTAACAGCCTAAATCAGTTGATTTCTAAGGCTAATACAGTTCTATGACCATGTTTATTTTAGCAACCCTGTTCCCCTTGCTTCTGCAACATCATGCAGAGCTAGTGATCGAGTTTGCAAGACTGCAAGAAAAATACTCTAGAATTGACTGCTTCTTCCTTTTTAAAAGTTATGTTACATTATGTCACAGAAATTCATGTGATATCTTTTCTTAATTTATGACATTCCTTTTCTTCCCCATAGTCTTATTGAAAACCTTTTAACATTAGGATGACGAGACATTTTCATGTAATTAATTTACATAAAATATTTGTGTGCCAACTTCTTAATTTAACTTACAAGAGTTTTTATCCTTGTTTTGTGATTAATGCCTCATCACATTTGCTGAAATGAACTTACATCCTCCTACATTATTTTGCTAGACTCTCTATTCCACTGATCTTTCTTAAAGTTCATCTGCACACCTATCCTCATATTATCTATTCTTCTTTCTCGATTACAGATGGCAAGAACTGTTTCCATCATTTCAGATTAAGTTTCAGCTGTCCTATCCACTCTGCTCCAGACAGTGCTTTTTTTTCCAAATCGTCTAGCTTCCTCAGAGCAGTTTATCGTAAAGTTACTTGTGTATTGACAGTATTTCCCTTGCATCAAATATCATGATAAGAATACTAAGTAAGACACAGAGCCAATCCCTAGGGAACTCCACTGCAATTGTTCCTATTTGATAATCACTCTTCTAATTCCACTAACTACCTCTACTAGCTCCTTCTCTACAGTTCTTTTACTAATCTCTACCCTAAGTAATAATTTTTCAACTTAGTCCCAATAAATAGGACTCCAAAAGATTTAAGCATGTGATCAAGTTATTAGAGCAACAATGAAACACAGTATGTCAGCTGAGCTATGGTAACAAACCAAAGGCATGTTCTTCACCACAACAAAGAAAGTAATTCAGTTTAGCTTAATCACCCAACACTGTGGGAAAAAGTTGAACCAAATTTACTCTGTATGCTCTATGGGCTAAGGACATGCAAACAGGTACTGCAGAAGAGCAGGCAGAGAAGCTCACTCCTTGACCTGGTAACTTAGCCAGTTTTTTAGATCAATTATTCTCTTTCCCAAAATAAAGTCTAATATCCTTTTCAGTATCTTTGAGTTCAAGGAATTCCAGCTCTCTTCATATGAAAAAATACTCCAATTGGCTTTATTAACTAGGTGGAGCTTAAATATCACAGAACAATTTAGGTTGAAACAAAGATTTGGAGGTCATCTGTTCTAACCCAGTGCTCAAAGCACAGCTGATTTTGAAGTTACATTAGGTTTCTCAGGGCTTTGTCCAGTCAGATTCTGATCACCTGCAAGAACAGAGACTGCAAGACTGCTCTAGACAACTTGTTCCAGTGTCTGAACACCCCCTCTGTCAATAATTTTTTCCTTAGTTTATAGAAGCTTCAGTTTCAAAAGCAAATGAGTTCTAGACCAATATTTACATAAGGCAAACCCTCCTTGTGACCATTCAATTCAACATAACTTCATATCACAATTCTTACATTGTTTTAAATTACTGTAAAAATAAACATCATTCTTTGATTTAAGAAGTTATGGGTGAACTACTTGGCAGCTTCAAATCATA